GGCACACACAGGTAACAGTCACCCTCAGCACTAATAGTCACAGCATACATGGCAGCAAGTATAGCATCAAAGTCGAGAGCAAAGATATCAACATTCTGCCTAAGCAGATCAGCCCAGGTAGGGAGCTCAGGAGCGTCAGGAAACTGCACGCGCTAGGCGTCAGACAGGCGACCGAAACAACGCTGCGACGTGTGTGGCCCTCCGCACGTCTCCCCACGGCGGCCGCCGGTGCGGAGAACGTAAGTGCAGGGACCAGCACCCCCAGACCTCCCACGCCCAGCGTACCACTCACGAAGCTGCTGAGGCGACGGGGTCTCACGGGAAAGCTGCTGCTGCTGGCGCTGGCGACCGCCAAAGCCTCCACGCTGCGCAGCTCCACCCCGACCAGCACCACTGCCGCCGCCACCTCCAGCTCCGCTGCCACCGCCTCCACCACCACTGCCGCTGCCTCCACCACCGCTGCCGCTGCCTCCACCACCTCCACCGCCACCACCGACACCTCCACCCCCGCCACCACCCCTGCTTCCACCCCCACCCCCTCCGCCTCCTCCACCGCCACCACCGCCGTCCCCGCCGTCCCCTCCACCACCCTTGCCCCCCTTGCCCTTGCCGCTGCGGCGCCTGTCACTAGGAGCAGACGCAGCCCCGACCTGCTCGGTGCCAATGAGGTCGACAGCAGCAGCAGAAGCAACATAGTGCAGAAGGGGAACGGGGGAACACCCCTCAAAGAAAGGGGCGCGAGGGTCGCCGCGAGAAGCACCTACAGCAACTATACTCTTCTCAGCTGCAGTGAGGCACTCCTCCAGCAGGTCAACGGTGAGCTCGGTGGGGCAAAGGGAGAGAAAGTGGTCCCTAACTGAAGAAAGGGAGTCAGGGAGACGGGTGACTAGGTAGAAGAGAGTGATGTACATGGGGGGGGGGTTCTTGGCGCAGAAATCGGAGGGAAGGGCAGCTCGGTAGCGGGCGTCACTAGTGCGGAGGTGGGTAATGAGGTCAGCGACTGTAGCAAAGGCGGCCAGGTCAGGGAACAGGTACGGTAGCATGAGGCGACTGAGAGTAGCAGTGGCAGGGGAGGAGTAGCGCGCTACAACAGCGTCATACAGAGACTTAGCAGTCTTGTACTGACCAAAGTGCGCTCGCTCAGCAAAAGGCAGGTGACTACGAACAGCAAGGCGAGCAACATCGTCACGAGTAGTCCACTGCGAGCGAACTGTACTGTCAGCATCGGCAGCAGGTGCAGTAGAGGCGCCGGACGTGAGATAAAAAAGAGAGATACCGTCCTTACTATCGCACTGAAGAAACAGCTGCAGATCATCGACCCAGACATTGAAGTCAACGGCACGACCCTCAGCATCGAAGGTAAGAACTGTAGGGCTAGCCATAGCGACAGTAGCAGCAGTGGCAGCAGTAGCAGCAGTAGCAGCAGTAGCAGCAGAAGCAGCAGAAGCAGCAGTAGCAGCAGGAGCAGCGCGGGCACGGCAGCGCGGCTCAGTAGGTCAGTGAGGCGCGGCTCGGGAAGGCGGCGCGGCTCGGCTGGGCGGCGCGGCTCGGCGGAGCTGCGCGGCTCGGCTGGGCGACGCGGCTCGGCTGGGCGGCGCGGCTCGGAGGAGCGGCGCGGCTCGGCCGGAAGGTGGCGCGGGTAGCGCGCGTAGGGCAGGTGCTCACCAGGGGCGAGCAGGGCAGGCGCGACGGCGGGGCCGCAACGGCGGCGACGGCGGCGGCCGCGACGGTGAGGCCGCGACGGCGGCAAGGCAGGGCCGCGACGGGTGCTGCAGGCGCGACGGCGGCCGCAGGGAAGGACCGCGACGGCGGGGCCACGACGGTGGCAGCAGGCGCGTCGGCGGAGACGGCAGGGCCACGACAGTGTCTGCAGGTAAGGGGCCGCGACGGCGGCTGCAGATCAGGGGCCGCGACGTGGGGCGGCAGGGCAGGGCCGCGACGTAGGGCGGCAGGGCAGGGCCGCGACGTAGGGCGGCAGGGCAGGGCCGCGACGGGCGGCAAAGCAGCGCCGCGACGGGCGGCGGGTAAGGCCGCGACGGGCGGCGACAAGGCAGGGTCGCGACGGGCGGCTAGGGCAGGGTCGCGACTAGCGACAGCAGGGCAGGGCGCGCGACGGCGCAGGTGAGGCAGGCGCGACAGCGCGCTTCGGGCAGGTAGGAAAAAAAAATTTCAGTGGTGGGCCCTTAAAAAATCGTTCCCACTAGGGAACCTGCTCTGAAACCATGTGAAACATAGAACGAGGAATGGATGCATTGAGCAGTATGAGGAGTACAAGTAGGAAACCCTAAAGTGTTGTACCCCATATGAACTACCCCACTACAGCCTACACAGACTATAGCATATAAGTTTGACACTTCTTCTTCAAGCTTCTCTCTAAGTCTCCTTCAAGCTCCTCTTCTACTACAAAGGCTCCTCACTAGCAACCAAGTTCTATGTCTCCAAAGTTGATACTCTCATGTTACTCTCTTCCAAGGCTACCATTGATGGTTACTTTTCCTATGCAGGCCTATGTATCCCTCATGGATCTATAAGGCTTGTACTATACATCTTTCAATATAAGTTTATGCTCACAAAGTCTCTCTCATTAGTCTACAAAGCTAAGCATCAAGTGAAGAATAGTCACGTCGTACTCTACTTGAGTATAAGGTTCATTACTACCTACAAGCTTGAGGAAGGCTCATCACCCAACACCAAGCTTGATGTTCTTCTTCAAGTAAAGCTCCCAAGACCAAGCCATTATTTCAAGTCACCACCAGGGCTAATTTTATCAGGGTAAATCACCCTGATACCCTGATAATCAGGGTGGTTTTTGGCTGTCACACTGATGCCTTAGGGTAATTTTCTCAGGAGCTTGTATTTTCCTGATAGGCCAGGGTTTACGTTTAAGGTACACTGACGGCCCAGGGTTACCGATCTTCATAACGAGTTTTACCCTGAATCGAGTACATAGCCCCCCCAAGCGCCCCCCCCCCCCCACCCCACCCCCCCTTTCCCGTAACCCGAGGTTCTCGCGTGCCAACTGTCAAACTGAAATTTGGCAAAGGCAATATCTGAGCTGGCACGAGGGGGGCCTCCATTTTCCAGAAATACAGTTTCGTTATTGCCTGCCAACGAAATACACCACGGTTTGCAAAACTGGTACACTGATCCTACAGGGTATAATTTTCAAAAACTAGGAAAACCCTGATGGATCAGGGTTTGAACAAGGTGTCACACTGATAATCAGGTTTTTGGACTTGTGCAACACTGATCACAAGGGTTGCTGAAAACCAAAAATTAGCCCTGGTCACCACTACAACTATCCCTAGTAAGACTCACTTAAGTAAGAGTTTATCACCTCTCTTATTATCTCAACAAGCTCACACTCTCCTTCTCTCTTGAGTTCTTATCTCATCAAGCATTCCACCCTACACAAGTTTCTCTTTATAGTCACAAGTTCTAAGCATCATCTTCTCTTCCATCAAACCCATCCTCATATGCTACAGTTCCACTGTTCACTCTTGTCTTATTATAGTGTGCAATCATACTCTTTTGTCATTATCTCAATTCTTATCACATACCCCATATCAGTAGGATGAATCTTACGACTGTTGTCAGCGCTAGAGGCGCCCCTTTTGTAGCTCGATGGTGTAGCAAATGCTGGATTTGTTATGCTATTCATACGTGCGTGCAATGACTTGAAATAAAGATCCAACTTACCTACCGGCACCATATGTATCCTTTACTTCCTTAAATTGTTTTTCAATCTCTCAGTTCAATATATCCACAATACAACGAAGGATGTCGCTATATGTGTATTCTGTGTTATTATAAGATCCTTCTTGATATCTACATATCCATTTAGCAACTGTGCTACTGTGCTTATCTGCTTAAAGAAAATGCTTCTGTCGAATAGAAGGGAAAGTACCGAATTACAACAATAATTGCAGCCATCACGCTTCAGCCAGGGCACAACATTATTTGCGCACAATTATTTGCCTTCCACACAAGCGTGAGTTACGGAGCATTGTCGAAGGACACGTCAGCTTCTCTCCCTCTTGTTCCCGCACCGCGCAAGAAAACTACCCAGGCTCGAGCCGCATGTGTGCTGCGGCCTGCCCCCTTGCTCTCAACTACGTACGGAGAGGTGAATGCAACACCCATAAATTGATTCACCATTCACGGCATCTCAACCCATCCTCACTGTCAATACCACAGTTCATAAATATTTATCAGTGTGTATCTCACTTGCCATCTTTCCGTCATTGCTCATTCCTAAATCCGCCGTTATAACCCTGTGCTAACTCAGTTGTCCTGCGTCAGTCGTTTCAGCCATCGGCACTTAAGCGACTGGGGGAAATTTTTGGTTCGTCACGGACGATGGGAAGTTATAGAATGGGCTCGAGGGCATACAGGCCTTTCGTTCTCGTCGTCGCATTCTCAATTGCTCTAATTGGTCAATCTACTGCCCGGCTTCTCACCGAGGATCTTCCACTGCCCGACGCATGCGCTCTCCTCCCCGAGCACTCCGCCCTGTGCTCTGCAGAAGTAGTCGCCGCGCGACGCTCGCTGCGCACGGATTCGGCTCCACCAGCTGCTCGCGAAATGCAGCGGGCGCTCATTCGGCGCGCAATGGAACGCGCGCAGGCGACGATGGATCACGTGGTGCAGCTGAAGGCTGAAAACGCGGACGAAGCTTCTCTGACAGACGCGGCAGCAATTGACTGCATTCACCAGGTAATTAGTCACAGTAGACATTAAATTTGGGACAATAAAGAGGAGACCAACAATCTGCACTCTGCGCATTCCAAGCCTATGTTCTCTCCCTCGTCCGTACAAATACCTGCTTAAATTGCTAGATTTCTTAACTGTCTAACTCCTCCGTTACCCGCTCCCTCCCTTGTTCTGTCCTGCAGATATCCATGGCACTCGACAATCTCGAGGATTCTCTGGGCGTCGTAACCGCCGCAATCAACGGTTCCAATTCCACTTCGGAAAACCGGCGTTTCAGCGGCCGTCCGATGTTTCCGGCCGACCTCACGGTTTCCGTTGACGACCTGCCGTACCTGCTGACTTCAGCTCGGGCCAACATTGACGGCTGCGTCGAGGGGCTGCAGGAATTCGCGCCGGATGCGTTGGACACGGCTCCGGGAGTGCGGCTCCAGGGGGAGGTTACGCTCATTACAGTCACAGTCACCGCAGCTCACGCGTTTTCCCCTTCCGCAAGTGACGACCTTTTCGAAGACGACGAGCTTTCCGTCTCCGCTGGAGGAAATGATTCCGCCGATGATTCCGCTGACTACTCCGCGGACACTTACGAGTACGATTACGCTTCACCCCCTCGCCGCCGGATGACGACAGAAACGGACCAATCAGGCGACAGCGGCGCGCCTGAGTGGGTAACCCTGGGGCTGTTCGAGCACCTGAAGAGAATTCAGGCGGCTCATATGCGCGGGGGGAGCGCGGGCGGCGCGGGTGAATTGGGGGGCGCGCGGAGACTTCTCGGCCTTGATGACGCAGGTGTGGATCATGCTTATGGCGGGGATGCGGGTGATTCTTACGATGCTGGTGATCAGCTTCGGAGGGGGCTTCAAACTTCGGGTTCGGGTTCGGGTTCAGGTTCGGTCTCCAGAAGCGTCGGCAAGCAGAGCCAGGGCGGGCATCACGGCGGGACGGGCGGGCATCACGACGGGAAGAACGGCGGGAAGAACGGTGGGAAGAACGGCGGAAATACCGGAGGGAAGAACGGCGGAAATACCGGAGGGAAGAACGGCGGAAATACCGGAGGGAAGAACGGCGGAAATATCGGAGGGAAGAACGGCGGAAATACCGGAGGGAAGAACGGCGGAAATACCGGAGGGAAGAACGGCGGAAATACCGGAGGGAAGAACGGCGGAAATACCGGAGGGAAGAACGGCGGAAATACCGGAGGGAAGAACGGGGGAAATACCGGAGGGAAACCCGGCGGGAAACCGGGCGTGAATATGGGAGGACTTCTGGATACCGGGGACTTCAAGGGCGAGTACACCAGCCTGCTGCCGCCTCAGGTGGATGCGATTGTCGCTAAGGACGGCTCCGGCACGCACAAGACGCTCACGGTAAGGATGATGTGACGGCTAGCGGTAAGGGTAGACGGACACAGGTTGGTGTGACGGCTACATGCAGCACCATTTTCCTGTGTCTGATAAAAACCGTTCTTTTTCATTTTTGCTCACCCTGGTTTTTTGCAGGCTGCAATTGGATCCGCACCAATGAAAGGCACGTTTGTTGTTTTCATCAAGGCCGGAGTGTACAACGAGCAGATTCTCTTTGACAACAAGGGGATTGTTTTGGTCGGTGAAGGGATTGGCAACACCATTATTACTGGCAAGAAGAGTGTGAATGGCGGATCAACCACCTACAACTCTGCTACCATTGGTAAGGAACGACTCTTACTCGTTCCCCCTTTGTTCGATCTTTCTATCCACTCCCTTCTTTTCTCCCTACTCCCTCTCTGCCCCTGTCCACTCTCTCCCATCCAATATTCAGTATTTTCTTTCCATCGCGACCACTATGCCATGCCCCCCCTCCCCTCACCAGGGGCGAACAAGGGCATGCTGACAGCCCTGGGAATAACCGTCCGAAACACGGCCGGACCGGCAGGCGAGCAGGCAGTGGCGCTGCATTCCCTCATCTCGCACCCACTCCTTTCTCTCTCTCCCGTCCCATCTCTCGCCCAACCTTCCCCCAACCCCAGGCGCCAACAAGGGGATGCTGACAGCACTCGGGATAACCGTCCGAAACACGGCGGGGCCGGCGGGCGAGCAGGCAGTGGCTCTACGTTCCAAGGACCTCTCCGCCTTCTTCGAATGCGAGTTTGACGGTTCCCAAGACACGCTCTACCCGCACAGCGGGCGGCAGTACTTCCGCGACTGCCGCGTCGGCGGCACCGTTGACTTCATTTTTGGGAAATCCGCGGCTGTTTTCGACCGCCCGCAAATCAGGCTTCATAAGGACGATCCGGTGATTATCACCGCGCCGCAGAACGACCCCAAGTATCCGGATCCCAAGGGGATAATTATCCGAAATGCGGTGATCTCTTCGGACGCGGGTGTGGGGAAGGCGTATCTGGGCCGGCCGTGGACCAACACAGGGACTTCCATTTTCATCAACTGCTTCCTTCCCAAGGAGATCCAACCTGACGGTTGGCTGACGTGGGACGCTGATACCGTGAAGCTCGCCAAGAAGAACGGCGTGTTCTTCGCTGAATTCCAGAGCACCGGGCCCGGAGCGCGCATGCCGCGTGCCAGCTGGGTGTCGCCGCAGAGGATCAGCAACCCCGCGAAATTTACGGCAGAGGCTTTCCTCGGCTGGACGAGCTCCGGCTGGGCTGGGGTGGGGCAAGAACCTGACGTTGACAACAGCGGGAAGTGATGACGCTTATAACGAATCAGAGGCCGCGGAACGGTTTGAGTGGCGAAAGGCCCGTCGCGGGTGAGCAGCTTAGGCGTTTCTCGGCTGGACAAGGCTTCGCATGCGGAGGGTGATAACGAGGAAACTACTATCGCGGCAAGGCGGGACGGCGAACACGACTCGTCAACGACAGAAGTCCGGACCTACAACTCCTGAACAAAGTCGGCCGGAACCCGAAAATAAACAAAAGAAACGGTACTAGACTTTTAAAATAAAGACTATGTGAGAGTTCCAACAACCTCGGTTGGACAGCACGTAGAAACTACTTTTGGTCGCAGATCGCGATTCACCTTAGGCTCTTCTGTCAGGATTTGAATGTGTGAAATTGTTACGAGTTCAATTGAGAGAGCTAGAATTGCACTATCTAAGCAGAAACAGTACAATGAGCCAAGGCATGAGCGAAAAATATATAGCGAACTAGAGTGGTAACGGTAACGCAAGAAATTGGGGTGCGCTACGGGCCTAGCGCCGAGGTTGGGAAATGTTGAGGCGGAGGTCCGGAGCGCGAGTTACTGTCAGAGGTCCACAGGTGATCCCCGATTGATCCTAGGGAAGGGTTACAGGCTCGTTGTCCTGGGGGGTTATGGGCGCACTGACCCGCTATTTAAAGCTCGCGTCTCAAATTTCCTACCGTTTAACACTTGGTTGGGTTTGCCCCTATTTGATTGGGTAACGAATGACGAAATATGTGACGAGCGGGTGAAAAAAACACAGCGAACTCCCAAACAGGTTTGGCCAAAACAAACCAGGGTGTGCAGGGTTGGGTGGAAGACGAGCCTTGGGGGACAGGTTTGGCCCCGCTTACTATCAGAGTTGAGAGTTCACAGTCTCAAATTTCCGAGATTGTAAATGCTTGGTGTTCGCGGGGAAGTGTGCGACGCGATTTCCCAACCAACCTTACCAACCACCCCTTTCCTCGGTGTGCTGTGCGACAAACTCTGCTGTTACCGGATTCCAACCGTTTAACACTTGGTTGGATGGCAGAAATATGAGACGCGAGCTTTAACAAGCCCTTTTATCCAAATGGTCTAGTGGTTGGGATTCTGACAGTTAACAACCGAACCGTGAGTTGGGTCGCATCGTGAACAATGGCGGGAGTCATAGTCAAGGCGAGTGCCGCGAGCGGGTAACGTTTCACTGTGGGGTGCCGATGGCGGGAATGGTCTTGTGCGCGGTAAGCAGGGACGCAAAGTAAGGAAAAGGAATTTTCCTTACACTACCCCCCTCCCCGAGGCCCTCCTTTCGAGAGCGAGTGTACATCTCGAAAATTCCGGCTGCACAGATACTCAGTGAGGACAGGGTGATTCTCAATTCTATCCAGGGGAACCCAGTTGTCTTCGGTGGGCGTACAGTCTTTCCAGCGGATCAGGAATTCGATCATGCGGGCTCCCCGTGGGTCACGTACTCGGTGGCTCAGTATTTTTCCGGGCGTGATGATTGGCTCTGTCCGCGGTCGTGTCATGCTGGCAGGGCGATTTCGAGGCAGTTGGCTAGTGGATGGGATATATGGACGAAGCAGGCTGACGTGGAACGACGGGCTGACGTACCAGTCAGCAGGAAGGAGGAGGTGGGCGGTGACAGGGGTGATCATGTGGCTGATGCGAAATGGCCCGCAATATCGGGGGCGGAGTTTTGGAGTGATGGGTAGGCGGAGGTTTTGTGTGACGAGTAATACCAGGTCGTCGGGTTGGTAAGTGACGGGGCGGCAGTGGCGGTCGGCGTTGCTCTTAGCGATGACGTTTGATTTTTTTATTGCTTCTACTGCTCGGGTCCGTGCTGCCTGTAATATTTCTGCGAACTGTTGTGCACGTGGCACTGGGTTGTCGGGATTCGGGGTCATGGGTACTGTGGGGTCTTGTCCGTAGTTCAGGTAGAAAGGTGATTGTTGGGTCGTGGCGGATGATGAGTTGTTGTATGCGAATTCGATGAGTGGCAGCTGCTGTTCCCATGTGGTCGGGTCGTCGCACGTGGCTCGAAACAACTGCTCCATGGTTTGGTTCGTCCGTTCTGTTTGTCCGTCTGTTTCGGGGTGGTACGAAGAACTGAATTGTAGTCGCGTGCCGAACTGCTGCCATAGGTTCCGCCAGAAGTTGCTGGTGAATTTCGTGTCACGCTCGCTGGTAATTGCTGTTGGTATCCAGGCAGTCGAACGACGGTGGAGATGAAGAGGCGGGCTGTTTCTTCGGCTGTGATTGATTTTTTGCAGGCTGCGAAATGTGCCATCTTCGTCAGCCGATCGCGACGACCAGGATCGCGTCATTCCCAGTTGCTCCAGCCGGTTACCCCGAAACGAAGTCCATCGTCACCTGCTGCCAAGCACACTCTGGGGTGGTATCGGCTGCAACTGCCCTGCCGGCCGTTTTCGTGATGATTTCATGATTTGGCAGGTGGGACACGATGCCATGTGTCGTTGCACGTTGGTCAGCATCTCGGGCCAGTAGTAACACCACTGCAGTTGCTGCCGTGTTTTCTCTACTCCGAAATGTCCTGATGTTGTCAGAATGTGATGTTTGTCTAGCCTGCAGTGGGGTACTCTATAGCGAGTACAACCCAATTAGGGTTTCCTATATGTATCTCAGCTGCTGCTAGTGAAAACCTCTCTTTCCTGTTTCTGATTCCTGCTGCTAGATTCTAACAGATGTAACCCCATCGTGTGCCTCCTGTAGTAACAGCTCCCTTAGCAAAGTGTAGCCAGGTACCCAGATGCGGTCGGTGCCGACTTTTACGTAATAGACCCCCTTTGCTGCTGCGAACTGCTGCGAGTTTCCATCTGTGAAGAATGGGTCTGTTTGATAGCCATGGGTAAATAGTCCTGTCAGTAGCGGGCTGGTCTGGGCGAGTAGTATGGCGTGGATTTGGGTAGTGGAGCGGGTCAGTGTGTCGGGGATGTTTGATGCCCCCTAATTGCAGGTGACCGTGTAATGAAATTTCGACTCGAGGAAATCGAGCCAGCGGATCTGTCGTGGTTTGAGGTGGGGCTGTGCGCGGAGGTACTGTAGTGATTTGTGGTCTATCCGTACTGTCACGTCTGCGCCGGTCAAGTAGCAGCGCCAGACTTTGAATGCGTGCACGATTGCGAGCATTTCGCGACCGTGTATCGGGTAATTCTTCTCGGGTGGATGCAGTTTTCGTGACTCGTATGCGATGGGCTGTAGGCCGTTGCCAAAATCCTGTAGCAGTACGGCTCCGATGACGATGTCGCTTGCGTCGGTAACCACTTCGAATAGGCGGTGTGGCTCGGCAATGCGTAGAACAGGCGGTGAACAGAGAACATTTTTTAGGGCAGAGAAGGCAGCATGCTCTTTCTCCCCCCACGTAAAAGCGACCCCCTTCCGCAGCAGATCCGTCAGTGGGGCTGTTAACCGCGCCATGTCGGGGACGAACCGACGCATATAATTAACGAACCCTAAAAAACTCTTCAGCTATGTGATATTTGTCGGGGGGTGCCACGCCTTTACCGTATCCAGCTTCTTTGGGTCGATCTCAACTCCAGCCTCCGAAATAACGTGTCCTAAAAATTCTAGCCTGTCATGAAAAAACTCGCACTTGGAACCCTTGGTCAGTAGGCGGTGCTCGTCTAAAACCTTTAACACTGCTTCCAAATCTGCTAAATGCTGCTGCTGCTTATCGGACTGTAGACCAGGATGTCGTCGAGGTAAACTATCACACATTTATCTAAAAGTGGCCTAAACGCCTCGTTCATGGTCATCTGAAAAGTCGCTGGTGCGTTGGTCAGCCCGAACGGGATCACTATGTACTCGAAAGACCCGTATCTAGTTCGAAAAGTCGTCTTGGCGCAATCCGATGGTTCGACCCTAATATGATGGTAACCTCCCCGTAAATATAATTTCGAAAAGACCCGTGCTGTTCGCAGCTGATCTATCAGTTCGTCGGGGCGGGGAATGGGGTATCACGGCTTGACTGTTACCCTATTCAGTGCTCTGTAGTCGATGCACATGCGAAATCCTCTGTCTTTTTTCGGTGTGAACAGTATCGGTGCAGCGAACGGTGACGAGCTCGGTCAGATGAACTTCTTTTCTAACAGGTAATCCAACTGCTTCCTCAGTTCATCAAGCTCGGGCTGTGTAAGTCGAAATTGTCGCTGTACAGTTGGTTGTGCCCCCGGTTCTAACTCTATTTGGTGATCGTGTGCCCGCTGAGGTGGCAGTCCTTCTGATAAGTCGTCCGGAAAACTCCCCGGGTCCCGTTTCAACAGTTCCTGTAGTTCGGGCGGTACCGCTGCAAGCAGTTTCTGAAAGTCACTCGTCTGCTCTGCTTCTCCTACCAATGCTATATCCACCGCGTACACGTCAGCTCCAGCGGCGACAGCCCGTTTCATCATGATGGCGCTGACGTGGACTGTTGAAGACTCGGGCGACTGCCAGCGAGGTAGCTCGACCCAGTTACCGCTACTTCGCACAGTGCAGCTACCCGTCGTCCAGTCGATTCACGGGTTATACCATCGCAACCAGTCCCATTTAAATGTCGTGCCCATCCAGTGTCGTCGCGAGCATTTCCTGTGTAAACCTGAAGTTTCCTCCACAGCGGACTTTTACTCTCCCCACCTTCTCCCGTATGGCCAGCGGCGTGCCGTCGACTAAGCGTGCATCTATCTCTGGTAAACACCGACTAAGTGTCAGTTGTAGCTTCCGTACGGTTGCGGTATTAACTAAGCTGTGACTTGCTCCTCCGTCTATGAAAATCTTCATTGCTGCTCCCTGTATTTTCCCGTGAATCAGTACTGGGCAATCCGTCGCTGTACCCACCTTATTCATCCGAGCCCGATCGATAGCGTGAATCGGTACTGTGACTTGGCGAGGGTCGGTGAGGTTGGGCGAGCAGGTTGTCTCGTCAGTAGTTGGCCCGATTTCTACTGACTGTTGGCGTTTCCCTGCCTCTGAGACTCCCTCCCCTGCTCTGCTCCGTGGCGCCTCAGCTCCTCTAGGCATTCGTTCTTGCGA